ACCATATTTAGTTTAGCACTTAAGCCAAGGTTGTAAGGCTCTCTTAAGTGTATGTACTGACGTTAGTGTGTTCATCATCATTCTCCTGCCCTGATGGCTTGCTTTCTAAATGGGACTCATTTCAAATCACTTCCACAGGGAGAAATAAAAGTAATTTAGAATTTAAAACAAGCCAGTATCTAGTAGCTCACACAACATGTTTAAGCAGGAAGCTAAATCTTAAATTAACAAAACATATTCCAATTATCAAGAAATTGGCCCTAGGCTGTAGTAATAACTGAAAGGTTTCTTTGTTTTCTTTTCATTTTGTTTTTGGTGGTGAAATAAAGATTGTGGTCAGGTAATTTTCTGGTTAATTTCTTACCATTGTCTCCCTTGTAAAGTTCTCTCTCTCTGTGTGTGTGTATGTGTGTGTGTGTGTGTGTGTGTGTGTGAGAGAGAGAGAGAGAGAGAGAGAGGGAGGGAGAGGGAGAGAGAGAGACAGAGAGACAGAGAGAGACAGTTGGCCTCCCTCTTGGCCTCCCTCCCTCCCTGACTCCCTCCCTCCCTCCCTCCCTTTTTTTTTTTCTTTTTTTTTTTTTTTTTTTGGCTCTGTTGACCAGGCTGGAATGCAGTGGTGCCATCATGACTCACCGCAGCCTTGATCTTCCAGCCTCAAGCAATCCTCTTGCCTCAGCCCCCTGAATAGCTGGGACTACAGGTGTGTACCACCATGCCTGGCTAAGTTTAAACATTTTTTTGAGGATACGGGGTCTCAGGCTGGTCTCAAACTCCTGGGCTCAAGCAACTCTCCAGCCTCAGTCCTCTCAAGTGTTGGGATTGCCGGTGTGAGCCACTGCACCAGGCCAATTTTTCTCATTTATGTTTTTCCTAAAGAGGTAGTCCTTAATATTTTTATGTGCTGGTACTTCTTGGTAAGAACTCCAACCCAGAACCATTTAGTCTTACATGGGACTGACTTTTCTTTATTATGCCATGATTATCTGGGACGGTATAGAATGAATCAGGCAAGTGGAAAGTGTGTCTTTTGGGTTACCTAAACACATACTGTTTAATTTTCTTTTCATTCCCCAAAACTGACATACCTACATTTCCTATCGTATGCTGCAAATTTCTTCCTGGAATTCACATTATTGCACTAAATTTTATCAGGAAAATATTAGTATAGAATCTTTAGAGCAGTACTTGCTGTTCAGTAAGCTTTCTGTGGCAATAGAAGTGCACTGTAATCTGTCACAAACAGTTTGGGCCTAAACTCCATGTTGAAGGCACAGGCTTCAGAGATTTAAGACCCTTGAGCACTGGTTAGTGTGCTGTTGGGAAGTCATGCGTCTCACCTGGGGCCACTTGTCATTTGCTTCTCACCCTGTGGCAGGGCCTCTTTTGCCAGTGTCCCCTAGTCACCTCGAGCCTACAGGCCCACCTTGTCTGGTGGCAGGAGCCACAGATGACTTGAAAGCACAAGAAGGTAATGATAAATTTTTTTAAGCTTTTGTGGAATAAGGTGAGAGGTGACCTCTCTTTACATAGGTACCCCACCACTGAAACTTCAGTCGGTTCTATTAATCATGAGTGTTCTCTGGGAGTAGACTTTTATTTGGGGGAAAATTGAAAATTGATAAGTCTTGGATTTTTTGTCAAAATTGATGCCTAGTGATTTAAAGACACACTTGTAGATGTGGAAATCATGAAAGTCCTAGGATGGGCTTTGGACTTGCACAATTTTAGTTAGAACACAAGGAATGGGGAGACTCCAGTTACCAACTGGGTTATACATGTTAGCATAATAAAGTGTTTAATGTCATTATCAAAACCTTTACCATCAGATACTGGCATTAGCCGAAAGTTCAGATCAACAGAAGCATTATCCCTTGCAGAAGGACACAGCATAAATGTAATCTGTGCCCTTCTGACAGACCGCTCCAGACACTATAATCCAATGTATGAAGATTTGGGATAATCAGATAGGAATCATCTTGCTGCTGTCTCTAAATCTAATTCCAATCCTCATACCATTTCTTTCCTTCCTTCTTCTTTGAATGCCTTACTCTTATCCCAGACTCTGTGCTTAAAAATGACACAAAGCCAAATTACATTCTCTGCCTGAGGTGAACTATTAATTAGAACTAACTGCTCATTACAGGGAGCCTGCTGATGGGGCAGCCATGGCGGAGGAACTACACTTCATGTCTTTGATATTGCATTGGCAATTTAGGACAAAACATTCCAGAAAATTCGCACTTCAAACCCTGAAGGTTTGTTTTCGTGATCTGTGAGCAGATATCTGGGAGCAAGGACCTGCTACTTGCTTGCTTTTAGGCAACTGCACCAGTGAAAGCAGCTTTAAATATAAAGTAGGTTCTGAGTTTTTCATTTCTCACTGAAATAAAAACATTTTACTTCTTCCTCTGACCTACTTAGACTTTACCAAGCGGACGTTGCTGGAAAAACAAGAACTTTCCTTGTCTGCTGTTAAGATGCCAGAAAAATGAGAAGATCACACTAGGTCCATTTATAAAATAAAATAGTTTTAAGCCACAACCAACAGCAGTCCAATTCAGGCTTTCCAGACTTCATAAATTTCTGTAAATTTGCAGAAACATTTTTATAACATGTTAAAAAATTCTCCAAACTCTTAGAGTCTACGTTTTATCATTTGGAACCGTATATAAGATATAAATAGAAAAGGAGTTAATATGTATGTAGGAGTTACTCATTTATTTAAATTTCACAGTAAGAAATCATTTGAAATGTGCAAAATTGTGGCTATAAATATGCTGTTTTTAGAGCTGGGTATATCATTGATGGGCTCAGCATATCTTGAAATAATGGGAAACAGGATTTCCTACAGTGATATATTTGTTCTAACTTTCCCATGCCACCAGGTACTGAAAATAAGGAGAGTGTAAAACCATAATAAGAAGGACAAGGTAAATACATATTCATATAGATTTTTTTTTCTGCTAAGTCTACAGCTGAGAAAAAGAAAAGTTGGCAGACTGTGTTAAGATGAGTCCCACATGTTCTATAAACCTTGGTGAAATCACTCTGGGTTTAAAGTTTAAAATTTTGTTGTTGAACAAATTTTGATTTGACTCAATATTATTGGCTCGCTTTATAAATCGTTATAACTTCACTATGTTTTCCCCAGTATTTCCTGTAAGTTGCTATTTGTTACAACATTGTTTTGACAATAATTTTATAATAGCATTTAAAATGTATTGAGTGCTTCCATGTGATGGGCATGTCCTAAGCCATTTAACAGATTAGTTCATTTAATTCTCATAAAATTCCCATACAGTAGTATTATTGGTAGGTGAAGTTGATTCTGTGAGGTTAGGTAACTTGAGCATGTGGCTGGTAAATTATATAACTGGTATATAAAAACAGTTGCTAAGATTTATATAACATATAGTTTAATACATTGAATCTTGACATCAATCCAACAACAGGAGAAGAATAAGAGTAAGTAGTGAAACGTGAAACCAGAGTTTGAACCTCAGGAGTTTGACCCCAACTCTGTGAGTTTTCAGCTGGTAGCTGCTAGCCACATGTGCCTATTTAAATTTAAATTAATTAACATTTTAAATAAATTTAGCTGTTTGCCACTAGCTACATTCAAGTGCTCAATACCCATAAGTAGCTAGTAGGTATCATATTGAACAACACAGATTGCAGTGCACTTCTGTCACCACAGAAAGTTGGTCGTACTAGCTCTGCACTTCACTGGGACAGAGCTCCCAGAGGGAGAGGCTGGTTGCCTTTTTTGCTGTCCCATGGCCCTCACTGCTCCTGTCCTCAGGTGCTGGAGGGAGCACAGTGATTAGGAACTGGCGTGGGTCCCCAGCACAGTACAGCTGCACCACAGAAGTGTGTCTGGACTGTTCCTCACCGGGTCCCTGTCCCCGCTTCTCCTCACTGGGCAGGGCCCCCTGACCTGGGACTCCCTCACAGCTACTGTGCCCCACCTGGGCACTTCAGTCAGAGATGGCTCTGCATTTCTCTAACGAGGAAATCCCAGAGTCAACCCACAGCCCCTCCACCATTGTACCTGTAGTGGTACCACCCTAATACCCTCAGGCTAAGGAAGGAACAAAGGGCATAGTCCCTATGCTGGCACCTCCTGCGCACTGTAGCCCTCATACAGAGTCCCGTCTCTCTTCTCTGTGAACCCCTACCCTCAACTCTTCACCAGGTAGGGCTGTTGAATCAGGTCTGCAGATCAGCTGCCCCAAACGCAGCTGAGCATGCCCACTGGGAGTGGCTCTGAGTTCCCCGAGGAGGGTCTCCCAGAGGCAACCAACAGCCCCTCTCCCACAGCAAAAGTTTGGCCTCTGCTGCTCTACCTGGGGAAGAAACACAGATCCTGAGGGCTTTACCTGCACTTTCAGTGGCCACAGTCACCATGAGAAGAGGCCAGTCTCTCCTCTCTGTGAGCCCTCCATCCCCTGCTCTTCACCAAGTAGAGCCCTGAACTCAGGCCAGCATGCAGCCAACCCACCCCAGCTGTACAATCCCATTGGCAGTGTCTCTGTTTCTCTGAGGTAGAGCTCCCAAAACCAAAAGGCCCTTTGCCACTGCTACTGCTGTGGTACTTCCTTTGCTACCCTCAGACTAAGGAAGGAGCAGAGATCCTGAGTGCTTGAACCACACCTCCAGCAAGCTGAAGTTTCCCTAAGGAGAAGAGGCCAGTCTGTCTCCCTCCAGGACCCACCTACTCTCCCTGCTCGTCACCAGGCAGGCCCCCCCTCCCCTTGCTCTTAGGTCTAAAGGGCAGTGGCCCCATCCTGGGCTGATTGCACTGATTGATAGTGCTCTGCATCTTCTGAGGTGGAGCCCCAAAAGACAAATGAAAGACCCTCTGCCACAGCCACCACTAAGATCCCTTCATCTGCTGCCTCCAAGCTTGAGAGGGAGCAGAAAGTTTGAACTCACCCTACAACCTGCTCTTGAATGACTTTTGGGTAAACAGTGAAATTAGGGCAGACATCAATAAATGTTTTAAATAAATGAGAATAGAGATGCAACATGCCAGAATCTCTGAAACACAGCTAAGGCAGTATTAAGAGGCAAGTTTATAGCGCTGAACACCCACATCAAAAAGTTAGAAAGATCTCAAATTAACAACTTAACATCACAACTAGAGGAACTAGGGAAATAAGAGCAAACCAACTCCAAAGTTAGCAGAAGACAAGAAATAACCAAAATCAGAGCTGAACTAAAGGAAATGTGAAAAATAATATAAAACATCTGTGAAGCCAAGAGTTAGTTTTTTGAAAAAAATAAAATAAAATAAAACAAAACAAATAGACTGCTATCTAGACTAATAATGAATAAAAAGAGAGGATCCAAATAAAAACAAATAGAAATTACAAAGGGGACATTATCTCTTATCCTACAGAAATACAAAAAGCCTCAGAGACCACTATATACACTTCTATGAACACAAACTAGAAAATCTAGAAGAATAGACAAATTCCTGGACATAGACAACCTCTGATGACTGAACTACAAAATAATTGAATCACTGAACAGACCAGTAACGAGTTCCAAAACTGAAGCAGTCATAAAAAGCCAACCAAAACCAAAACCAAGACCAGATGGATTCATAGGTAAATTCTACCAGATGCATAAAGAAGAGCTGGTACCATTCCTTCTGAAACTATTACAAACAATAGAAAAAGAGGGACTTTCTCCCTAACTCGTTTTATGAGGTCAGCATCATCCTGATACCAAAACCTGGCAGAGACACAACAAAAAAAGAAAACTTCAAGCCAATATTCTTGATAAACATAGATGCAAAAACCCTCAATAAAATACTGGCAAACTGAATCCAGTAGCACATCCAAAACCTGATCCACCATTATCAAGTAGGCTTTATCCCTGGGATGCAAAGATGATTAACACACGCAAATCAATAAATGTGACTAATCACATAAACAGAACAAAAACCAAAAAGCCATGATTATCTAAATAGATGCAGAAAAGACTTTTGATAAAATCCAACATCTCTTTATGTTAAAAACTCTCAATAAACTAGGTGTTGAAGGAACATACTTCAAATACTAAGAGCCATCTATGGCAAACGCCCAGCCAACATAATACTGAATGGGCAAAAGCTGGAAGCATTCCTTTTGAAAACTGGAACAAAACAAGAATGTTCTCTCTCACCACTCTTATTCAACATAGTACTGGAAGTTCTGGCCACAGCAATTAGGCAGGAGAAAGAAATAAAAAGTATCCAAATAGGAAGAGAGGAAGTCAAGCTATCTCTGTTTTTAGACAATGTGATTTTATACCTAGAAAAGCCCATTGTCTTTGCCCAAAAGCTCCTTGATATTAGAAACAACTTCAGCAAAGTTTCAGGATAGAAAATCAATGTATAAAAGCCAGTAGCATTCCCATCCACCAACAGCATCCAAGCCAAGAGCCAAATCAGGAATACAATCCCATTTACAATTGCCACAAAAAGAATAAAACACCTAGTAATACAGCTAACCAGGGAGTTGAAAGATCTTCATGAAGAGAATTACAAACACTGCTCAAAGAAATAAGAAATGGCATAAACAAATGAAAAAACATTCCATGCTCATGAGTAGTGATATGGTTTGGCTGTGTCCCCATCTAAAATCTCATCCTGAATTGTAATCCGAATTGTAACCCCTATGAGTTGGGGGAGGGACCCTCATGGGAGATGGTTAGATCATGGGGGTAGTTCCCCTATGCTGTTCTCATGATAGTGAGTGAATTCTCATGAGTTTTATGAGGGCCCTTTCCCCACTTTGCTCTGCACTTCTCTCTCCTGCTGCCATATGAAGAAGGAAGTGTTTGCTTCTCCTTCTGCCACGATTGTAAGTTTCCTAAGGCCTTTTCAGCCATGTGGAATTGTGAGTTAATCAAATCTCTTTCCTTTATAAATTACCCAGTCATAGGGAGTTCTTTATAGCAGCATGAAAATGGACTAATACAGTAAATTGATAGCTCAGAGAGTGGGGTGCTGCTGTAAAGATACCCTAAAACGTGGAAGCAACTTTGGAACTGGGTAACAGGCAGAGGTTGGAACAGTTTGGAGGGCTCAAAAGAGGATAGAAAGATGTGGGAAAGTTTGGAACTTCCTAAAGACTTGTTGAATGGTTTTGGCCAAAATGCTGATAGTGATATGGGCAATGATGTTCAGGCTGAGGTGGTCTCAGATGGAGATGAGGAACTTCTTGGGAATTGGAGTAAAGGTCACTGTTGGTATGCTTTAGCAAAGAGGCTGGTGGCATTTTGCCCCTGCCCTAGGGATCTGTGGAACTTTGAACTTGAGAGAAATGATTTAGGGTATCCGGTGGAAGAAACTTCTAAGCAACAAAGTATTCAAGAGGTAGCAGAGCATGAAAGTTTGGAAAATTTGTAGCCTGAGTCTGCAGTAGAAAAGAAAAACCCATTTTGAGGGGAGAAATTCAATTTGACTATAGAAATTTGCATAAGTAACGAGGAGCCAAATATTAATCACCAAAGACAATGGGGAAAATGTCTTCAAGACATGTCACAGACCTTCACAGCAGCTGGAGGCCTAGGAGGGAAAATTGGTTTCATGGGCCAGGCCCAGGGTCCCCTTGCTGTGTGCAGTCTCGGGACTTGGTGCCCTGAGTTCCAGCTGCTCCAGCTATGGCTAAAACGGCCAAGGTACAGCTCAGGCCATTGCTTCAGAGGGTGCAAGCACCAGGCCTTGGTGGCTTACAAGTAGTGTTGAACCTGTGGGCACACAGAAGTCAAGAATTGAGGTTTCAGAACCTTCACCTAGATTTCAGAGGATGTATGGAAACACCTGGATATCCAGGCAGAAGATTGATTCAGGGGCAGAGTTCTCATGGAGAACCTCTGCTAGGGGAGTGTGGAAAGGAAATGTGAGGTCTGAGACCTTACATGGAGTCTCTACTGGGGCACTGCCTAGTGGAGTTGTGAGAAGAGGGTCACTGTCTTTCAGACCCCAGGATGGTAGATCCAACAACAACTTGCACTATGTGCCTGGAAAAGCTGCATACAGTCAACACCAGCCCATGAAAGCAGCTGGGAGGTGGGCTGTACCCTGAAAAACCACAGGGGCGGAGCTGCCCAAGGACATGGGAGCCCCCATCTTGCATCAGTGACCTGGATGTGAAACACGGAGTCAAAGGAGATTATTTTGGAACTTTAAGGTTTAGTGACTGCCGTATTGGATTTTGGACTTACATGGGCCTATAGCCCCTTTGTTTTGTCCAAATGTCTCCCATTTGGAGTGAGTATATTTACCCAATGTCTGTACCCCCACTGAATCTAGGAAACAACTAACTTGCTTTTGATTTTAGAGGCTCATAGGCAAAAGCAACTCGACTTGTCTCAAATGAGACTTTGGACTTGGACTTTTTGTGTTAATGCTGGAATGAGTTAGGACTTGGGGAACTATTGGAAAGGCATGATTGTGTTTTAAAATGTGAGGACATGAGATTTGGGAGGGGATATGGGCAGAATGATATGGTTTGTCTTTGTCCCCATTCAAAATCTCATCTTGAATTGTAATCCAAATTGTAATCACCACATGTTGGGGGAGGGACCTTGTGGGAGGTAATTATATGGGAGGCAGTTCCCTCAGGTTGTTCTCATGATAGCGAGTGCTCACAAGATCTTACAGTTTTATGAGGAGGCCTTCCCCTCTTCATACTACACTTCTCTCTCCTGTCGCCATGTGAAGAACATGTTTGTTTTCCCTTCTGCCATGATTACAAGTTTTCTGAGGCCTCCCCAGCAATGTGGAACTGTGAGTCAAACCTCTTTCCTTTATAAATTACCCAGTCTCAGGTAGTTCTTGATAGCAGTGTGGGAATGAACTAATACAGATAGAAAGACTCAATATTGTTAAAATGGCAATACTGCCCAAAGCAATTTACAGATTAAATGCTTTTCCTATCAAACTACCAATGACATTCTTCACTGAATTAGAAAAAAACTTTTAAAATTCATATTGAAACAAAAAAACAGCCAAAATAGCCAAGGCAATTCTAAGCAAAAAGAACAAATCTGGAGGCATCCAATTACCCAACTTCAAACAATCTTCAAGGCTGCAATAAGTAACACAGTGTGGTACTGGTACAAAAACAGTTACATAGACCAATGGAGCAGAATAGAGAGGCCAGAAATAATTCTGCACACTTACAACTATCTGATCTTTGATGAAGCTGACAAAAACAAGCAATGGGGAAAGGACTCCCTATCAATAAACGATACTGGGATAACTGACTAGCCATATGCTGAAGACTGAAACTGGACCCCTTCTTAAACCATATACAAAAACCAACTCAAGATGGATTAAAGAGTTAAATATAAAACCTAAAACTATGAAAACCCTGAAAGATGACCTAAGACATACCATTCTGGACATAGGACCTGGCAAAGATTTAATGATGAAGACACCAAAAGCAATTGCAGCAAAAACAAAAATTAACAATTGAGACCTAATTCAACTAAAGAGCTTCTGCATAGCAAAAGAAACTATCAACAGAGTAAACAGACAACCTACAGAATTATAGAAAATATTTGCAAAGTATGTGTCCAACAAAAATCTAATATTCAGAATCTATTTGGAACTTATACAAATTTACAAGCAAAAAGCAAACAATCCCATTAGAAAGTAGGCAAAGGACATTAATAGAAACTTTTCAAAAGACATATATGCAACAAACAAGCATATGAAAAAAATCTCAACATCACTAATCATTAGAGAAATGCAAATCAAAACCACAATGAGGTACAATATCATACTAATCAGAGTGGCTATGATTAAAAGGTAAAAAAAAAAAAAAAAAAAAGATGCTAATGAGGTTGCAGAGAAAAGGAAACTCTTATACACTGTGGGAGTGTAAATTACTTCAGCCACTGTAGAAAGCAGTGTGGTGATTTCTTAAAGAACTTAAAGCAGAATTACCAGTTGACTCAGCAATCCCATTATTGGGTGAGTACCCAAGGGGGTGTAAATCCTTCTAACGTAAGTACACATACATGCATATGTTCATCATAGCACTATTCCCAATAGCAAAGACATGGAATCAACCTAAATGCCCATCAACAGTAGACTGGATTTAAAAAATGCGATACACATACACAATGGAATACTACACAGCCATAAAAAAGGAGATCATGTCCTTTGAAGCAACATGGATGAAGCTGGAGGCCATTATCTTTAGCAAACTAATGCAG